CTTTGAAGCTGCACTGAAGCTGCAATTTGGACCTTCCACCCAGTGAACCCCACTGAAGTCCACTATATAGAGAAAAACCCTGGAATGTTTTCCTCAAAAACCTTAATTTCCTTTCGACTGAAGAAAGAAAGACATGAACATCTTGGATGACATGGGGGGTGAGAAAATTATGAGGAAATTTTAATTCAGAAGTGAACTAATCCTTTAATTATAATTTCCTAGATATAGCAAATCACTTGATAGATAGATATACTGTAGTGCATACTAAGGATGCACCAATATTAAAATTTTGTCCGATACTGATACAGATAGTGAAGCCAGTAATTATTTTCATGTTACGACTTATAAGCAATAAATGGCATCTATTAAAATTCTTAACTATTTTGTTTTGTAGTGCATACTAAGGATGCACCAATATTAAAATTTTGTCCGATACTGATACAGATAGTGAAGCCAGTAATTATTTTAATGTTATGACTTATAAGCAATAAATGGCATCTATTAAAATTCTTAACTATTTTGTTTAAAATTAAAAATTAAAAATAAAATCATAAAAAAATAAAATTAGTGGTTTTAAATGAAAAATGGATATTTGAAGATTTGCTGTACTCCATCCATCCATTCTCCAAACTGCTTATACTCTGTAGGGTTGTGTGGATTGCATGTAATAGTATTAAATTCTAAGCGTTTTTAAAGATTGCCTTTAGTGAGCATTTGATGACAGCAAAGGTAATTTCCTTTAGAGGAAATGAGCATTAACAAACAATTATATATCCAAATAACCATCAATGCTGTTAAGTAAAAAAAAAAACTCTAATGTGGTGCTGACATATTGTGCATCCCCAGTGCATACAGAGTTTCATTCTGACTTAGACATAGTCATGATGAGTCTACTTTGTCCTTCATTCTGTCTGTCTCTCTTTCTCAATCACTCCCTCGTGTGTGTATAAACCCCTTTACTGTGGTTCAATCTTGATCTGAGTGCTTAACCCTGGTGGGCGCATGGCAGGATATTTTTGGAGCTGGTGGAGATAAACCAGTCAAATGTATGTCTATGCGTGTGTTTGTTTCAGAAGAGACACGTGACTCAGCTGGTTTGGACCTGTCAGATCTGGACAGGGTCTCCCAGGAAGAAGTACTGGGGGTGTGTCAATGTGAGGGCAGTGGTCCTAATGACAGTGCTGGCTGAGCTGAGCCATCCATCCCTATTTTTGGCAGCAGAATCTGTCCTGAAGAACTGCCAACTAAAGCTTTGAGTCAGACATACTCCAAAGAGCAGGGGCTATGGCTCTATTTATGGAAGACACCTCATGTATTTGCCTTATCAAAGGATGCTGGATCTGCATCCCAAATCGGCCGGCAGCCATATCACCCTGTAGCCCAAGACTGGTTGCCCAATGAAGCTAAGCAGGGTTGAACCGAGGTCCTGACTCTCTGTGGTCATTAAAAATCCCAGGATGTCTTTCGAAAAAGAGTAGGGGTGTAACCCCGGCATCCTGGCCAAATTTGCCCATTGGCCTCTGACCATCATGGCCTCCTAACCATCCCCATATCTGCTGATTGGCTTCATCACTCTGTTTCCTCTCCACCAATAAGCTGGTGTGTGGTGGGCGTTCTGACCCAGGTGGATGCTGCACACTGGTGGTGGATGAGGAGATTCCCCTGACAATGTAGAGTGCTTTGAGTGCCTAGAAAAGCGCTATATAAATGTAATGAATTATTATTATTATTATTAAATCTCTACACTCTCTTCCAATTAGCCAGATATTCTGGAACATATTTGTTTGGGTCTGGATAGCAGGGTGGGGTTGGTATCGATGTCATGGTATTAGGGCACCTGACCCTCAGGCTGTGTGGCATCAGACTACGTAATGGTGCCAGGCTTTGAGCCGGCGGAACATGTGGGCGTGTCCTCTGTATTGTGTATTGTTTGGGGACCTTGCGGTTGCTCTAGTTACCTAAATGCTCTTTGATGTAAAAGAGCATAGAGGCGGGACTTTGTGAATGGCGCTAAAATACCGTTAAACCTGACAAATGAGGAGTGAATTATGATCTTTTCATAAGCCGCTTGGAGTGTGTGAGTCATGCTTAGGAAGGGCACAGTTCTAACGCTCGCCCTCCCACAGTCTGTCATTAACCTTTCGACCAAACAAATACCCTGTAATAAGACGAGACCTCAGGAAAACACCCGTGGTCTTCATACACTTAGCACCGTTTTTTCGCATACAGTTCCCACAGAAATGCCCACAAAAAATGTCCCTTGCATTGGATTCAAAAGTTTTATCTGCTTGTTGTGTGATCACGAACTTCTGCTGTGTCAGTCAGTGGTGAGGATTTAAGCAGGGTTGGACGAAATTCAGTCTCCCTTTCAGTTTATAGTTGGAATTTGAATTGAATTGAGCATGTCCACAAGAAATTTGTTTAATGTAAAATGACGGGATGATAAATTTACTGGATTGCAACTCCAAAAAAAAAAAAAAATGCAGCAGTAACACAAAAGTTAACTCAAAACAATAACTACATTCATTTTTAAAAAACATTTTTTTTAACAGATTAGACCGAGAAATAAGCAATTAACCCAGCCCCGTCAAAAATTCTTCATTTGGATAGACTGCACCACAAAATGTTCTTCCATCTTTAATAAGATAGCTTAAAAATCTAACTAAAATCTAAAATATTGACAGGAATATTTGTGAATTAGTGGGAAATTAAGTGTTCTTTCGCCATTCATAAAATGAATGACATTCGGTTAAAAATACTGTATATCAAATAAAATACAATAGTAAATACAACAATTGATTATTCAAATTCAGGAACATGTAAATACACAAACCTAGCTTGAAGTGGAGGTACAGGTTTTTTCAAGCTGTCTGTGTTGATGCAGCAGTGGATATTTTTAATGGTAAACTGATGCATTTGGAAACCTTTGCATGAACCCCTGGTTATGAGTGAGTGTTCTTAGTTGCACTGTGTGAGAGAAATTGTCTATATTGCACCATGTGTTACATTTGCCCTCCCCTTCTGAATGTTCTGAATGAATGTCACAAGCTCTGTCTACTGCAGTCAGATTACACACAGAGAGATACCCCCACACACACACAAACACACACACAGCTCCCGCTGGTCTGGATACACAAACAAACACACAGACCTTTGTGAAGCGTCTTATTGACCTGCATAATACAACTTAACTCAATCTCTCATTTGACTTTGGAAAAAAAAGATGTGTGCCACATTACTTTTTTACAACTGTATCTTTAATGGCAGGTAGTTTACTGTTCTAATGCTTTGTACATTTTTATTGGTTTATGAGTTTGTGGAAAGCTTCTCCTCTCTTGTGTAAATGTAAAGGCCACACACCCCAGAGACTGAAAGAGATCTGTTTATGTGACTCTTGTTGCTCATGTCTGCAATATTATTTAAAAAAACATAAATACTTCAATCATGCCAAAGAAGTAAAGAGACAATACAAATCAAAATAGTTCCCCTTCAGGATATACTTACTGGCACTCACGTCACCCTGCTCGTGACGTCTCGCTGCTCCATTGGACTGATTTTGCACGTGCTTCAGAACGTGGTCACGCAGGGGCGTTCCCATAGCTATCTCGACGCAGCGTCTCGTTCCCTCGGGGAACCATGGTTACATACGTAACCTAGAGACGTTTTTCTTAATGTCTTTTTTATATATATAAAACTGTTTAAATGCTTGCCATTTACAACACTGAGTAAACATTAAAAACATAACACTTATTTCAGGCTTTGGCCACAGAGAGATATAGTGTTTAGCACATTTTTGTGTATTTAGTGCGTCTTTTGTTGGCTTTATCGGTCAGTTAGCTGCAGAGGGATGCCCCTCTCGGGGGTTTGAAGTGAGTGGTTGTATTTTGGCAGATTTAAAGGCTGTTACTGCACTTCATTAGAATTCTCCTCTCATTAGCTTTGTGTTCATTTAACTTCATTTGGCCACCCTTAGTCAATTCTGCACTGTGATACAAAACAGAAGGAGCTGGAGTCAGATCCGCTAAAGCCAAACAAGAGGAAACTAAACTCATGGCAAACACTGTAGTGCTCTGAAATCTATTGTATAAAATGGATTACACCTGTCACTGCATATTTTATATTAATGCGAGTTATTTTTAATCATTTATGTTAAAGGATCGTACAAAAAGTCATACAAGTTTAGAACAACATGAGAGCAATATTTTGGGGTGAATATGAGCTAATATGTTGCCTGGCTACCGTAAACTGGCAAATATATTTTTCTATTCAGATTATTATTACTAATAAATGTCACTATGATTTGAACATTGTGTCTTTGATCATCTTGCTAATGCTGTAATTTTAAGGTCCCTAAGAACACCTAATAACTGTGAGAAAAAAAATCACAGTGACTCTTGAGGCATATTGTTTTAATCACATTGAACCAAGAGAGAGGCCATTGTTATACAATCAACGTATTAATCAGTTTTCTGAATAAAATATGAAAACTACATTTGGATGCACTGTGGATGCAGGTTTAGGTTTTAAGTGTGTTTTATTGTTTGCTTTTACCTGAGTTGTGCTTTTATCTTAAAGACTGCTGTACTATATTGATTCACTGAATGCTATCTGACCATGAAGGTTGACAGCTGTTGTGTATTGAGCTCAGGATCACATGAGCGGATGAAGTTGAGCAGGTTAGCTGTTAGTTTACAGGCTGTGAGCCGCTCTTGTCGACTGCTTACTCTCGCCAACAATTCAGCTGGCGTCTGGACCATTTTTGTTGTGGGGCATCGGAAGCTGTTTGTCTAGGGGGGTCTGACAGATGCCCCGCATGTGTTTGCGTGTGTGGGTGGGTAATTCCGGCCATTGATGGATGAGTGGGGGTAACCCGTCTCCCCTTTGCCCAGTGTCTCCCTCGACATGCCTGGGTATACTGTGCCGTCAAGCCCTGGAGACGGACCTCTGTGTACCGGATCTACCGGAGCTGTTACACAATACGGCTGAACACAGAAGCCACCAACCTCAATCACAGATGTACAGACAAGCAGGCCTCTAATGCCTGTACTTCCGCCCGTGAATGTATAGAGTAGTTTTGCTTTTTTTAATCCGTCAGTTTTCGTCTGCTTTGTATTGATGCCAGTTGATAAACTATTCTTTTTTTTGTTTCCAAAGAAGTCCCAGTTGTAATGCATAAAGAAAGATACGTAATAAATATGTAAGGTAACCATATCAGTCTACGGTTACCTTACAGATAACAAAGTAAGAGTGATTTGAGGTAACTGTATCACTCTACTTTTCCTCTGCACTAACTTACATTGACTTCAGTTGAAGAAGTTGTTGTCAACCTTTTGACTCGAAGGCCCCCCATTGTTCACAAGAATATCTGAAGACCTGACACTCGTAGTGTCTGTAAATTACATTTCAGGATTCCATACGTTTTAAGAGCTGCATGTTTTTCAAGTCTCCCACTCTTTTTAACCAATGAATTTGCATTATTTTTTCAGTAATTTGTGTTTTACAATTTCTACCTAGTGAAATATTATAGAGTTTGACAAGCATAACTAGAAAAATGTAAACTAACCCCCCCCCCCAACATTCAACTGCTTTTAGCATAACTAGAAAAATGTAAACTAACCCCCCCCCCAACATTCAACTGCTTTTATTTCCAGCAAATGTGAATAAAAGTAACATTATTATTAACAAAAAGTTTAACCTACCTGAGACATAAACTGAACTAAGATTCATAGGCATTTGATGAACAGAAGTGGAATAATGAGTCCCTGAACAAAGGGGACTCAAATTTTTATTTTAAATATAAAATTTAAAATTTAATGCAAATTTTGTCTTATTTTAAATTATGAAATTATCTTGAGGCACCCTTGAAAGTTTGCCGAGTGATAACCACTTGAATGGGTCAGTGTTTTCCCTGCAGCAGTAAAATAAGTTACATCTGATCTTTATTTCCCCTCTTTAAAGGTGCCATAGAATGGAAAACTGTATTT